AGAAATGCATATGTTGATATCTAAAGAGACGTGGGAAAAGAGGCCAAAATAATCATCCAGTAGCCAAAGGAGTAACCTAAATACTTCTCCAGCTTTTATGTACCAAAAAAGAACAACAAAAGTACTGTGAGAAGAAACTACATCTAGACACAAGAAAAATAATCGCATACCTAATGTCATGGACTTCCGGTCATTGCATGGATCTTTAATTAAGTTCATGAATTATCATCTCTTCCAGTCAATCAAAGTTCTGCTGTATATCTTAAATTCTAACTTCAGCTAATGAGCACCTGAATGAAAGCAAAGCAAATCCTATAAGTTGTGAAGAGATTCCCTACCTGCAAAAGGCGAGAGTTTTACAATCAACTAGAGAAGACAACTAGGCTGTTTCCATCCACGAAATGGGTTTGGAAATGGAAGGGGGAGGGTAAACTTCATCTGAGATGTATTGCTTTACTACTGATTTTAACATTTGGAATGAGAATTGATTTAAACATGGCATGAAATATTGCACCATCACCATTCAGCTACAATGAAGTGGCAAGAAACAAGTAGGGTAGGAACTAAGTTACATTACATGGAAATTGTATAACCCATTTGTAAGCTGCACCTTTTGTTCAACAATGTGTGTAAAAAATTACTCATAATAACGAAGAGACTGCATCAATATCACCTTCCTGTGTAGAAAATATTCTACTCCTAGAACTACAAACCACTTCATAACTCAGCTGCAAAACTCTCAATCAACAACATAACACAGCTTTGATAAAACATAAGGTTCTAAACACCGTTACCGTATGTCAATCATCTACTGACCTTGCTCATAAAAAGTAGAATGTAATTGTAACTGCCAGAGCTCATTATTCACATCCCATTTGAGTTCGTTTCCCCAGAATAGTCAATAGCCTAACGAGATGAATCGAGGAGGTCATTCAGTCGATGCAAGAATGGCTTTTGGAGTCGAGAAGACCACTTCTAACATGTCGTCATCTTCCATGAGTTCCTCAAAAGTAAATGAGAAACATGATTAATCAATTTGTCCCATGCCCTCTGGAAGAAACTTGAATCTCTTCAACAACTAGAGCAAATTTATGGCCCAAAAAAGCATACAATTGTTGACGGATCTACCTTCAAAAAAATTTGAGGGATAGAATAGATCCCATCAACAAAAATAGGACAGGTATTTCTGAGCCAATTCAATAGCTTCCAATCTCCACTTCTAGTCAGCAGTACAAACATGTTAAACGGGCACCTGCTTAGTATCTAGAGAATCAATCTCCAACTAATTGAAATTTATGATTTCCTCTAAATGTGATTGAACAAACTGATACTTATTTTTGCATAGTTTATTCAATAGATAATTGAGAGTGCCTTCCTCTAGTTTATAACCCAATCTAAACATTGAATCTATGACTGATAAAGAATCATCTAATTTACCTATTTGAATGAGACTCTTAACCAACTTATCAAAAGTTTGCTTTTGAGGCTTCAGTTTGCTCTTCAACATAGTTATCAACCACTCCATCCCCTCCACTGCACATCCTTGTTCACATAATCCACTAATGATATGATCACGAGTACAAACCATTGGCTTGAGGTCTCTATTATGCATATCATTCCACATTTTCTTTGCTTCTTGCACGTCACCTACTTCACAAAGCCTTTGAATGAGATGAGTATAGGAGGAAGTCGAAGGATGCATCCCTTGCTCTAGAAGCTCCCTGAATAGGTCTGTGCTCTGCAATATCTTCCCCTCTCTGCAAAATCCTTGGATCAGGGTATTATATGTTACAACATCGTGAACTACATCCTTGCTAGGCATTTCTCGAAAGAAGTCATATGCTTCATCTGTCCTTCCGTGTAGACACAAACCTGCAATCACTATGTTGCAGCTCAAAGTGGTTTCTTTATAGCCTCTATCATGCATTTCCTTGTATAGCTTCAAGGCCTCATCTAAATCTCCAATCCTACAAAATCCATAAATCAATGCATTGTACGTATACTCGTTTGGAAGATATCCCTTATCAATCATCTCAAACCACAACTTTCTAGCATCTCCAAGCCAGCTCATCTTACAAAGGCCATGAATCATTGTTGTATACATGACCATATCGGGAGCATATCCCCGATCCTTGAGGCCATTAAAAACCTGAAAAGCCTGCAGCTGCTTCCTTTTCTTGCAGAGCCCGTTAATGATTTCTTGGTACGTAAAAATATCAGGATTACGGTTATTAGCTATCATCGTGTGAAGAATTTCGGATACTCTATCATAATTATTCTCCTCACATAACCCATATATCAATTTGTTGAAAGTATCATTATAAGGGGCTAATCCATCGTCTAAAGCCTGTCTTAGAAGGTCATAAGCTCTTGAAACCTTCTCATCATTGCAAAATCCCTGAATAAGATACCCCACAGTCTCAATGCTCACATCCGCGAGCACACCAGTTTCCCTCATCTCTTCATACAGTTTCCAAAGAAGATCAGTCCTCCCAAACTTGAGACAATTTTGTAAAGCAAAGTTCCAAGTTTCAATGGATGGACGATATCCAGTCTCTTTTAACACATCAAATACATTAACAGCTTCCTCGACCAATCCACCCTCACAAACACATCGAATGTAACCCTCCAAAGAAGCAGGCTCGGGACTAAAACTGAAAGAATGAAGAAAATATTTTGCGGCAACACAAGCCTTGGCCTCCAAAAGCGCATCAAAAAGCGTGTTACAACTGACTGGATGAGGCACGAACTCAGGGTGCGAACTTAACCAAAGAAAAAACCTCAACGAAAGCAAAACATTGTTTAGCTCCTTTAAAAGCTCGCAGAAAAAGGAAGAATCATAGAAATTGAAAGAAGGGTAATCAGAAAGCAGAGTCGTCTCCCATTTGGGTTTGCTCCTGATTACCTTACAGACTTCTTTCGCAACCTCCGTGACGTCTTGGCTGTGTGCTGGGTTAAACCGTTTCTCGCTGAGTTTGATCTCTTCAGATCCATTATTGCCCCCATTTGTTCCCACCGAGAGATTCCGAATGTAGATCCCAAGGTTTTTGACAAATCGAGAGTTCTGGCGAATATAGATCACAAGGGATGTAATTTTAGCCATAAACTAACTGCTTCCCTGATTCTCTTTACAATTTCTGCTTCCCTGCGGATATGACAGCACCAATCTAGAAGCTTAGTATCCCACAATCGGAACGAAAATTGTATGTACCATAGGTTTCGTATAATGAATCGTAAGAAATGGAACGAATCGAATTGATCCGATTCAAGAACAAAAAGAAGAGTATGGTTTTTATTTTGCTCACTTGAACCACGGCACATGCATGGCCGCTTAAGAAGAACGGCCGACGGCGAACCAGAAGAAGAAGTAGGAGTAGGCGGTGACCTATGGGATTTTTTGATTTTCGTCCATTTTTTTATTTTACTTTCATCAATTTAGATATTCGATACTTGTTATTTATACCCTTTTTTTCATTTTTTCAAAAGGTTCAATCTATCAGTCATTTGTGTTCTTTTTCCCGCAATATTATTTTTTAGTACAGCTAGGATAAACGGATTTGAACTTCCAACTTAATCTTTTGGTTGGCGGAAATTTTTTTTGTAGTATAATAAGTAAAGTGGGAGATTCGAAATCGTGACCACTTCATTAGAAGATATCATTTACTTTAAACTATATTTAAGTTTAACCGTCATTATTAACATGATAAATTAAATATATTTTAATTTAGTGATTAGAAGATGTCTATATATAAAATAAAAAATGGATAAACTTCACACAATCAACTGAGAACAACTCACTCTTTTTATTTTTTTGAATAAACTCATAATAACTCACTTAACCTATAATAAACCGTTGCTATAGATAATAGACATAAAAAGTATTATTTCACAAGTTAAATTTTTGGTAGCGTTAATTAATAGTAAGAATTTATTTGAAAAAGGAAAACTCAATATTTTGAAGACAAAATATGAACTCTTAAAAAATTACACACATTTGCAAATTAAGTTTCGTTCGTGTCAAACACATGTGACCTGAACTTCATAAAAAAATATTTAAAAAATAATATGTAGTAGCTTATCGAATACTTATAACTTGAACATAAAATAGATAGATATATAAGAGCAAGTAATAATTGATTTTATTTATAAGGAAGGCTAAATTTCATATTTTWTATATATATATATATATATATATATAACTAAAATAAAAACTACACTAAAAGTTAATTTCAATCCATGTTCCAATTCAGGAGTTAACAACTGAAATTTTTCTATCCATTTATGCTTGATAGTGAGGAGAATTCATTTAAGACTGCTTTGCAACAACTTTTTCGAACCTTCTCATTAGTTAAGCTAACATCAAGGGCATTTATGATTTATCAATAACTTCCTTTCATATACATTAGAATTTTTTAATACAACATGTGGAGTGGAAATTTTGAACTCACAACATTTAAGTTGGAGATAGGTGTCTTAATCAGTTGAGCTAAGCTTAGGTTCGTTTGGAAACAAAATTAGTACGAGACTCTACTAAAACTTCCAACTTCTTTCCTGTAATGGGACAAGTTCTGTGTCCTTGATCAAGCCACGCCTTGATGGCCGGCTTCTCAAAACTTTCACCAGTCTCCATGATCACAGGATCTTCAAACTGTCTAGTTACAAGCCCTTAGGAATGCTCAAGAAACAGTATCTTTCATCAAAGTACTCATAACTATCATTTGGCTCTGCAACAACAAAAAGCACAGTACATTAATAGAGCATTCATAAACAAAGGGTATACACGTACCTAAAACTTCTCGACTTACCTCTTAAAGAGGGCTTAACCTTGATAGGCTGCAGAAAATTAATAATAGATTAAAAAAATACCATTATATTTCCATAAAATTAAATGAAATTGAGAATCTCGATATATTTACATGAGAAGAAAATGATGCATGGCTGAAATTTGAAGGATCGAATGATCTGAGATCTTCAGAAGCATCTGCGTGTTGTACTTCAAAGTTGGGTTGTGCAAGCTTTTGTAGACCATGGTCGTTTTCTTTTGTATGTGGCTGAGCATGCAGCACTTCAAAGTCTATGTCATTCTTTTTCCATGTCACAGAACTGCAGAATTCATCACTATCGTCCATTTCTAGTAGAATATTGACATTATACATCTTCCATTTTTGTGCTTTACAATTTTCCTGCAGAAAAATGTTTTGAGTTTTTAATTATTGGATGGTCCTAGAGAAACAGTTGGACAGATCAACGGGAAAATTAATAGAAGACCAACAAGAATGGCAATTGAGAATCACAAAGAAGGTGAACGAGCAGTCATCATAATAGGAGAAAGAAATTAAGAGAAATTTATGCATTAGAGTTTATAAGAGACCACGCTCCTAATATACAGAGCCGTCAGAACAATTTGGCTCCCACCAATTAAGTTGAGTTTTGTAAATGAATTTCTATGCCAACACATAAATATCCCATGCAATTTATTCTATTGCAAAGACAAGCCTATACTCGCCGAGTTGATAAGAGAACGCCTTGCATGGGAAGTGTAGCGGAGTCAAGTTAGAGGTCAAATAAATTGCCATTTTGCTTTTCACTGCAAGATTTTTTGAGTGATATCGTAGAAAAATAAAACTTGTGATGTCAAGTAACTGTGGGCAGGCAAAGAAGATGAGGAACAGTTAAGACCTGCAAACTTATCCTTTTTTCTTGTGTACTTGACCTACCGGGATTTATGTGCACTAGGCAAATGCCACTGTTGGCACAGAAAGGTAAAAGGAAAGGGTAGAATATAGTAGTGATCATTGCAGAAATCATTCTTAATAACACTAAAATCCTAAACTACCGTCTTCCTGAATGCTGTTTAAAGTAGCAACTCATTGCTAGAGTTAAGAAGAAATCTTTATTAACAATATAAGACATCAATATGAAAGAAAAACAAATTCAAGGAAATACTTACAAAAGAGGATGTGTTATCTGTCGTGCTTCCTGTAGAATCCTCATCAGTATCGTGATCTATATCTTTAACTGTGTCAGAGTAGTATACCTGTGTATGTTTTGAAACATTGGAACTATTAGAGCTTCTGACACAATTTTCAGGGTTCTCTGATTCCCATTCACTTTCAGTATCTGGAGCTCCAGGATTCTTTGTGGTGGCAAACATAGCATCATATAGTTTTTTACTAACCATCAGATGAGGTGAGACAAAATCATTAGGAAGTTTCTTTGCAGTTGAATTATTAGGACTTTCCTGATTAACTCCCTCAAAAGATAAGGCTGGGACTGCAATGGACGGGGCAGGAGCTTCAATTCCTGTGAGCCAATCCTTGTAGTAAACTGCAAATTTTCGAGTACCAGAATCCAGGGTTTCATTAAACACTTTATCAAGAAGTTTCTGGTTGCTTGACTGGCTTGGGGTATCAACTAATTTATCAGCTTCATGGTCATACCAGGATTTTATATTCGTTAGATGTGGAAGAAATAGATCATCCCATAGTTCTGGAAACAATATGATTCTAGCCTGAAAAGGCAGATCGCAAAATACTTGCAAAATATGCTTGGCTGAACTATTTTCTTTCTTTTGTATCTTGAATATTATACTCAGATAGAGATGGGCACAGGCAGACAGTTTTGTATTAGAAATTCCATATTTGAAGCCATCTTTTAGAGCATCTGTACTCAGACCCGTCATCATGCTTAGCAGCAATAATGCTTTCTTTAAATCCTTTTCAGTTGACAATCCTTCAGCTGCTTTTTCTACTACGTCAATTGCTTGTTCAAGGTTGGCAACAACTTTGGAGGTGTTGCGTCCTCCAACTCCAATAAAATTTAGTAAAGTGGAACTATTGTGCCGAAGCGTCAAGCGGAAATCCTTGTCTTTGAGAAAATGTTTAAGATATCCATTGATGATAGAAACCACGGCTCGGACAGCAACTACATCTAAAGTAGGTATAGAAACTGACTCTACGTTACTGTCTTGCATTCGACTCTGATTATGTTCAAAGCTTTTCCTATTGCATGCACTGACAGATTTATCATAAGATCTCTCTGGCAACTTCACAGCTGCCTTACAACTATGATGAAAATTTATACCCGCAAATAGATTTTTCTTCAAACTGTTTCCTTGCCTTTTCTCCACATCTATGTTATTCCCTGACCACCTCTCTTTTTGTTGCTCCTTTTCTCTGGCTTCACCTTTTACTCCATGTCGGATATGCACTTCATTTGAATATATGTCCTTGAAGCTCTCACTTTCTTCCTCCAAAATTATATTATCGCCTCTTTTTGGTTTATCCCTGGAGGAATTTATAAGACATGGCTTTCGTTCTATTACATCACCGTGTCCTTTTCCATAAAGTCTCTCCACATATTCTCTACTTGACTTTTTATCTATTTTTTCTCTGTTTGTAAAATTGTCCCCTTCTGTCAGATTCTTGATTATACCTCTTGATCGAAAATCTCCACTAGAGCTTCGCCGGAATAGAGAAGGCCTCATAGCATTTCTAAGTTGACCGTCCAAATCAGAATCTGAGTTTCCTGTTTCTTGGGAATGATCGTTAGAAGTGATTGTGGCATATGATTTGATGGACCCTTTAGACTTCCTCATCGGTCTTCTTCCTCTAAACCCTTCTTCAGCAAGAAGCTCCTCCAGAGATGAAGCCATTAACTCTGAATAATTTCCACTGCACTACAATCGTGTGGTAAGTTAAAAGAGGTCCCCGAAAACTAACTTTTAAATACTCTAATTGGATCAGGAAAGTAAGGGCTTTATTTTCCGTAAAAGCTCATACAGGCTCATTCACTTCTAGCATATTGAATTTCTATAGAAATTGGACATGCATATTCATACTGCCGTGATCATCACTAGCGTTCGCAGCCATGTTGATCGTGGCTGCGACCAAACACAGAACTGAAAGGAATTTTTATTATCATACTACCCATATTAATTGATTTCCTTTTTTCGTACAATTGAACACAAAAGAGTTTTGGCGTCTGTATGAGTTACAGATATTTCCTCTCTCTGTGTGGAAAGAGAGGAGGATATATACGGAAAACAGAAACTTAACAAAAGGTGAAGGGAAATAGAGTTACCGTTATTTATTATTTCCATAAAATTTTGAATTATTAATTTACAAATATTAATTTTCGAATTATCTCAATCTCCTGGTAGAACTTCCACAACTAAGGATTATAAGAAATCATACTCCTAAACTTCAAACATCCCTCGTCAAGAATTTAGTGAGAAATTTCTCACTAACTTTTACATATTTACGAAATTTTAAAAATTATTAAAAAAAAAACATTATCTAGTCAAAAAACTAATAAATTTTTTTGTAGCCAGAATTCTCATGTACTTGCCAAATTTAGAAAATCCCAAAATACGACACTACTCACCCTCGAAATTAGTTAATCCTTTGTTTTTCTAGAAGGAAAACATCAGATTACTTTGAAAAGAAAATTCTCAACATCGTGTAGAAGGAATATGCACGGCTTAACTAAAATCAAAGGGATGAGAAGAACTTGACCACATACATTCATATATGAATTTCCTTGGATTTCACAAGATCATGATTAACCCAGCAAGTATCCAATCCAACACGCCACAATAAATGCCAAACTCGATCAAACACTAAATAAGAAGACAAGAAAACTTACCAAAGATGAGGCGTCGTACGCGGGTTGGAGTATCAGCTGTTAATGAACCAGTAACCGATCAGTAAGAGCGAGAGGGAGAGAAAGATCATCACTCATCAGAGCTGTTATAGTGCGCAAAATCCATATAAAGTTACGAAAATCAAACCCCTGCAGCCTGAACTCGAAGGAACCAGAAATATTGAAGAAGAATCAACCCCCACGTGGGTGTGCCTTGGAGTGGGAATTTCATCAAACACCTAGAGGGCATAAAAATCCGCAACCCCAAAATCCCAACAGCGGAAATTCCCTTCGTACTCGAAAATCCGGGACGAGGGGTTTCGAGAAACGATGCAAGAAATGTGTGACGAGGGTGGAAGAATGGGCATTGTAGGCGATAAAAGGGCGCCATATATATTGATATAAAAGACTGCAGAATAGAGAAAGGTCCAAAGAGAAGAGGGCTACACTGGGCAACGAGGGAAGAGACGGAGTGGGAAGAGTGACGAGTGAAAGTGGACAAATGGGAGAGAGAAATGCTCCAACTTTCAGCGAAGGGGCTGAGAGGACCTCGTCAATGGAGGTTTTGTTTGAGCTGGCTCTTCCTCGTTGGGATTCACTCATCAACCGTTTTCAACTGCCGCCCGCCCCGTCTTGTTATTCAATTTATTATTTCCTTTGTTTTTAATATGTTTTGTTTTTTTAAGTTCAATAATAATAATATGCTATAAATATAATACATTAACCCGCGTATGCAGCTGGCTATATAAGATATTTTATTAAATTAGTGCTTAACTTTTTAAATATTAATATGAGAAAGTTTTTAAATCTACGAGAATCTGAATACTCATTTTATTTACTGTTTATCATACCTCACCAACATTAAAAAATTATGTTTAAAAGTAAAATTATAATGTGAACAAATGGAGTATGGTACTCTTGTAGTACTTGAATTTTCCCTATCTAATAAATACATAAATTTTTAATGACTAGTGCATTGTCACAACGTATTTATTTTTACTTTTTTCTTATATTTTTTATTATACTAACTAAATTAATAGTGTAGAATGTAGAAGCATAAATATATCAACAAAATGTGATGTTTTTTTATTTCGAGAGACTATACTAACTAAATTAATAGTGTAGAATGTAGAAGCATAAATATATCAACAAAATGTGATGTATTTTATTTCGAGAGACTCTTCATCGCGATGAATGAATCACTGGTCAAAGAGCGAACAACTGCCACGTTTAATAATTTGGTGAGATCCACATATGTAGTAGTTAGTGAACCAATTTTTCTTCTTCCGTGAAGATTCAAACAAAATCAAACTTAGATGCAACTAAACAATATATGACAAACGAATAACGACCTTTTAGTTGAGTATATTTGTCTTAATTTATATGATAAGTAAAAGCTGCATCTTTTTAAACCATCTCTAGAGAACATAAAAGACTTGTCCATCATAATTTTTCCTTACATTTTGTCACTTAAAAAAAAAGTTTGTGAAATCTGGTAAATAGAAGAAATGAGTTATGTTGGCTAAATACTTAAATATTCACATTCAATTCCTACACGAACATCTAAACTCCAATTATTCAATTTGATTTTTGAAATTTTGGTTGACATTTTAAAACGTTCACAAAAAAAGGGGTAAAAGTAACTCAAGTTTAAAAAATAGTTATTAAACAAATTCTAAATAATTTTCAAGAAATAAATAATTGTAGATGTTACGAAAATTAAGACGGATAAATAATTGAAAATTATTCTCTAAAAAAGTAAAAAGTTGGTAGGAATTTAAAAAAATTTAGAATGTACCAAATGAACAGTTAATAAATAACTTTTAATATTTTTTTTTAGTACAGAGTGAAAATTCGAACTCACGGTTTTTTAGTCAAAGATATGTGTCTAAATTGGCATACAATTACTTTGCTCGTTAAACTTATAAAATAACATTGGTAAATAGTATATAATAATTCCACGTTAAACTTATAAAGGTTCAAATCTCCTACTAAAAGGCATAATTGATCCAATTTTCCATTAATTTTCATATAAAAACTAAATTTATTTCCTGAATTAAAAATAGAACAGAAATTAAAGAATGAAGGAAATTAAACAAGAAAAGAATTATAAAATTCGAATCAGAATCAAAATAATGATTTATACAACATATGACAGACATCAAAAGGATTCTCATAGAAAAACAAACATAAATTTCATAAAAAATACCCAGAAAAAAAAAACAAAGAGCGAATCATGTGAACCGAAGATGAGAAGAAAACCAACAAGGCAAAATGGGAGATACTATGGGAAGGATTTGGCCGCTGAAATGAGAACTACAAAATTGCTTTCGAGATGACTAAAATTTCTCCACTACAAAATAATGATGATAATGATACATTAAAAACTTAAGCCATAATTTAATCCAATACACGCACCTCTACAAGAACTCATGCTATTGCAAAGGGATCATTCATTTCTTTGAAGATCCCTTCTTCAACGACTTCTTCTGGAGTTTCTTATTTGGTTTCAACTTGCTTGACATTGATGAAGACTTTCCTCGTTGCCCTTTTTGTTTCTTTTCTCTTTTCACGTTGTACATGTTGACGGCCTGAAAATCAAGATAAGGAATCCAAAATAGGCTTAGGAAAAGATTGTTCCAAAATACTCTTGGGTAAGTTTGAGATGGCAAGAAGCACTTTTTTTGTCATTATTATAATGGGAGTAACATAAATGTGCTTTTCAAAAAGTCAAAAGCACTGTGTCAGAGTGTTTTAGGCCCAAAGGCTCGAATTTCAAAAGCATTTAGGGGTGTCCAATGATTCGTTACAAAACAAGAAGTATTTTTTATAAAAGTACTTGTTCTAGAAATATCCCAAACATAAGCTTACTTGAACCGGATCTATTCTATAGGTTGTACAACCGTGTCCTTGAATTCTAAGAAATATCCCAAACATACCTCTAAAATTTCATGTGATTCAAAAGCCCCTCTCTCCGTCTAAAAATAATGATCTTTACTTGCATCATAAATGATAAATGAATATCAATCACGACATGATCTATTTACACCACAAGGTCCATTTTCAATCATGTTAAATCATATAATATAAAAAGGTAACATGTCATCTACTTAATCCAATTTGGGTGATGAGAGAACAAAAAGAGAGGTGTGTTTTTGCTGCTTGTCAAATTTTGTGAGTTTTATCCTTCAACAAATAGAGATGTGCAGTTCAGCGGTCATACCTTATTAATGTTGAGAATCTCATGTGAATTTCTGGAAATTAATCTGTTGAGAACTTTCTCAGTTTGCTCTTTTTCTTGGGAGCCAATCCCTGTTCCCTCCACAACAGGCAGAAACTGCATGCAAACACAAAAAAAAATGTGCAACAAACTTTTTACGAGAAGTATAAAATAAACTTGAGCATAAATGCGGATCAACAGGCTTATTCAATTAACCTTGCGATATTTTCCTTGATGTTTAGCAGGTTTTTCTCCTGCCAGCTTCTTGTCAAATTTTCCACCACTGGCTGTTGAAGTTGCTGCCATTCCAGCTGCATTTCCTAGGTCATCCTTGGTAATTTTCTTAGGTGCAGCTTGAGTTCCCGTTATGGGCAAAGTGGTGGCAGCTAGTTGAACGTGGCTGCATGAGTACAGTGAATTTTATGCTATCGTGAATAGATTGGAGTTAAAACTAGGAGGAAGAGAAAACACAACTGGAGATGGACCTTAAAACAGGTAACTTGAGAATAGCAACATGGATAATGACTCCGATGGAATAGATGAAAAAGAACATTTTGGAGAAGACGTTGATCAAGTAATAAAATTCAATGAAACTCGTGTATAAACTGAGATAAAACAAAATGCAGTAGAACTTATATCAAATTCAACAACCAAAAACTGTATTTAAGAGGTAAAACCTTGGTAGGGCACCAACTTTTGCAGCTTGCTTCAGATTCTCTAACCGATTCTTTTCTTGCTTTTCAACTCGGTTTTTCTTATTTGCGCGCCTTGTAGCAAATGGATCCTCCCCAGGCTCTGCAAGACAAATCAAGTTATCAACCATGATACTTCACAACCATTTCAGTACTTATTATGTGTCTTGAGCATAAATGCACCCAGTAATTAAAACCAATAATCTATTGGTTATCTGGATGTTGCAACTGTGTGCAGATTTGCAAATCAAGTTCAGAAAAAGCAAAACAGAACTAGAATAACTAGTAGAACAAATAATCATATTGCAAGAAGCAAGATCACATAAAATACTACCATCAGTCATCTTGGCCTCAATTATGGGTATGTTATCCTCATCATTTGCACGATCATAACCATGGCGACGTCTCCATGTACCCGTCTGTTCATCATATGCTATCTTATCTCTTTTACGATTCTTTATACCTGCAAAAGTTTTAAAATAAAAATAATAATTATTATTGTGAATGAATTATACTTGGGGAAAAAAAGCTTGTCATCAAATTAATTAATTATGTGCTGCTATTTCTTCTCGGTTTCCTCGTCTTGCTTTTAGCTGAGTTCAAATTTATTTTCTCTGCAGAAAATAATGGAATATGCTATTTCTCTATCAAATGTACCCTTGCACAAAAGGGTGCACATAAGGAACTGACCTCTTTTTTTGGCAAAAAGTTCCCATTTTGTAGGAGGTTTAGGCTTTGGTAACTGTAAAAGAAGAAAATATCACCTCAACCAAAACTACAGAATTGACACTTGCAGCCACTGCTCTTCAATACAGCACGATCAATGACAGTGGTTACCAAGTACAGAAATCATCCAGATTTAAAAAGAAACAAATGAGATGACAAATTAGCACATAGCCCCTTACATGCTTCTCTCTGGGCAATTTTGTAGTAGGTGGAGGCAACTTCACAAGGGGACCATCTCTGTCTTCAGTGGAAGGCCGATTGAAAAGTTCGTTGGCAATAAATTGAACCAACTCTATGCCCTTCTGCAGACATTCATTAACTAGATCCTCCCTAATTTTTTTAAAAAGAAACTAAACAAATATAACAGAGGTTCTCTTTTAACAAAATAAGCAATTAGATATTCTCTCGTGGATATTCTAAACATCGAAAAGAGCATCAAAGATAATGAAGCTAAATATTAGTAAGAGGCTTCTACTTTGATTGGCAAGAAGAATGTAACTAACACTTCAAAGTCACTAATGCACTCATGTAAATGTTCATTATCATTTGAGCAGGCGTATCTATCTCAGGCAAGCATGTAGTTGATCCTTCATAAAACGAAGACTCTTAAAACAGTACAGCGTAATGTGAATAGCATAGCATCGCAAAGCCAAAATACACATTACACACACCAATGTACTCCAGCCTCGGTGAGACAAAAACAACACAAATTCAGGGAGAGAAAAATCTCTACAGACAAACCTTTTTTCGTCTACCTACTGAAGTAACACGCGAATTTCGAAACAAAAATCGAGAGAGGATGAAAAATTCAAGAAGAATCAGTCCTCCGAGTATACTTTGGGAGCGAATCAAAACTAACCTGGAGGAGAGCGAGGAAGGAAATTGATGGTGAGGATTGAACGCCGTGAGATTACCCAGGTCGATCTGAAACGGATATTGATTCTCCGCCTCCATGCTCCGGCCACCGTAATACTTTTATTCCAATGATGAGCACGATGATTCTGTAATTTGGGGGTGGCTCCGGTGACCTGCCGACGACTGTGGACTGCTCTGCTGTTGGGATTGGAACCCTAACTATTGCTTTTGTTCATCGATAATAATCAATTTAACCAATCATATGAAAAAAAATCAAATAGCCCACAAAAAAGGCTTTTGTCCAAAAAAACAAAAAATAAAAAAAGCATGTAGCAAAATGAAAAGTAAAGTGTTTTTTCTTTTATTTTATTTTTTTCATTTAACACGTTTAGTTTTAGGTTTTTTTTTAATTTCGGAATAACAAATATTTGTAGTCATGGAATCAACACTTTAATCCTACAAAATATTTATAGTCACTGCGCTCTCATGGAATGAACAATTTAATCCTACAAATTAATTTGTAATTTGTAACGATTTAAAATTCTCATTTTTTTTACTACAATTTAGTAATTGAGTGTGTAACAACTTAGTCATTATACTTATTTTGTAACAATTTAGTTTCTATTATACAAAATTTTGTTAAAGTTGAACGAAATTTCTTATAAATGTGGACTGATAAACTAATTAGATATCAACCGTGCTTATAAACTAAAAATACTAAATTGTTACATTATAAAAATACACCGTTAATTTGGATGGAAATTTTCACAGGAGGTATTTAATTGTTACGAATTTTGAAATACGGAGACTAAATTGTTACACGACATACTAAAATTCAATTACTAAGGACAATTTGGCAACGATTATATTTTATGATTTTTTCATAAATTATATATTTTTAGAAGAAAAAAAACATATATGTCTGATAACTATTTTATTTAGAAGTCATAAAGTTGTATGTTAGATAGCGAAAAAAACTATGTTTTTTAAATAATAATAATAATAATAAAATTAAAACAAAAAACAAGAGAGAGAGAAAACTATGTAAACTACTGCTGATAATAAGGTGGGGCATCTTGTTTGGGAAAAGATGTTTGCTGGAAAGTTATCGATTGGGTAATTATTTTTAATTATTTTAGTATTTAAAAAATAAATAATTGTTTTTTATATTTAATTCATAATTTAGTAAAATATTTAATAAAATATATATGAATTATTTAAAAATGAAATATGTGACAGAATCGGTGATGGGGCGTCGTGGCAAATGTGTTCCCTGTTTTTGGGCGGGTATCCGATCCCATAATTTTTATAATCTCTCGTGTAAATATATGAAAATAAAAGTTTAAATATATTATAAAAATTAAGGACCTTTAGATAAAATACATTTAAAAATAAAGAAAACAAAGTTAGAGAAGAAAAAATAGTTAGAGAAAATATAAACACAAAAAGATAAATTTTTAGATAAAGCATATAAAGTTGAGAGCAAAACGCATGTTTAGAGAAAATAAATGAAAAAACTAAAGAGAGAAAAAATAAATAGATAATAAAATGTTCAAGAATATATTTATTAAATAAAATAAATAAATAAAAATAAAAATGATAGTGAACAAAACAAGAAAACAAAATTTAAATAAATAAAATATGAAGATATATTTGTTATAGAAACAAAAATTATGCCTATATTACTTATAGGAAAAACTACATTTTTTGTAAACGAGATGTGGAGCAACTACATTATTTTAGAGTTGACGCTTTTAAGTGAATTTTATAAAATGATTATAAATGGTCAATGAGATATTCATCGTTAGTTGACTAGCTTTAACGTGATGTGGCTGAGTACAACGAATGACATGGTAATTTATATGAATCTAATATTTTTCATATGGGTTGGACTATCTTCAATTTTTATTATTTATCATCATTTTCCTCTCCTTGTCCTCATCCCTTTTTTGACGAACTCGACGTTGCTCGCCCATCGTCGCTCGCCCCATCGCCAATCGCCTTATTTTAGATATAAATGAGGAATGGGAAAAGACTTCTTATAGATATATTCCTCTTCCATTGAGAACAGAGTTTTCAGATTTGAAAAACGATATTCTTCTATGTTCCATGGAGGAGGAAGTTTCCATGTATGAAATGGAGAGCAAACGACGGATGACAGACATGGGCGAGTTTAGTTAGAAAATATGAGAAGGAGAAGGAGAATGAGAGATGAACGATAATAAGAAGCAAGGAAGAAGAACATATAACGTCGTACAAACAATATTGAATTAATATAAATTGCCAAATCAGCCATTACAGTTACTTATTCAACAATCACATCATGTATAAAGTTAGTTCATTGCCTTCCACCTGTAAATAGCAACTCATTTTCGTATGTAGAGATGTAATTATGATTCATCATTTTCGAATTCTTTAGAGTTTGAAAAATAAAAATAAAAATTTATATAAATTAAGAACAATCGAATCTTGAAAATGATGGTTTAAAAATAATAAAACAAAATATTAGTACAATAATTTAGAGAACAAAATATTATCTATATCAACGACAACATACAAATTAAAGACAAAAATCAACTTTGAAATTGTTCGCAACAAATTGACCAAATAGACGACAAATGACCAAATAGACGACAGATGATATATAAATTGAAATAATTTTTTAGTAGATTTGAAAGAATAAGAGGTGACTATATCATTTAAAATTATGTTTAAATTTCTCCCCTTATATATTTTCTTCTTTTTTTTTATTGAAAGAAATATCTTTTTACTTTTTATTTGTATAGAAATATTGTAATTTCTATTATTATTTTTTTAAATAGGTATAATTCTATGATTTTTTCCGCCCTCTAAAAATCATGAAAAATTGATGGAAATTTTCTTGCTTCTACATAACTCACAGAGAAATACCGAAAAAACTCACAGAAAAATGTATAGGAAAAAAATCACGGAAAAATAAAAATTATGTGAGAAAAAAACAAAAGTAAAAAAGAAAAATAGTTGGGAAAAACAAATCATGCAAAATCACGAAAATTACGAATTACATGAAAAATAAATAAAAGATCGTATAGATTGGACTTGACCTAAGTGGAAATTTTTAGATTTTTAGTTTTTTTAAACAGTTTTTTCAAAAATCATTTTGAAATTCTAAGTAAATTCAATAAAAGAAATTAAAAAATAGGTTTTATTTTTCAAAATCTTATATTTTCTTCTAATATTCAATATTTTTTTTATTTTTCATATTTATCTCTAAAAAATTTATTTATCACTCTAACATTTTTTTTCTAAATTTTTTACTATAATTTTATTTCTCTCACTATTGCATAATTTATTTTTCTCTGTCTAAAATTTTTGAGTACTTATTATTATTTGTCTCTCCAAATTTTTTTATTTATTATTTTTTTTAAGAGATTAGTTTCATTTCTCCCTTTAAAAATTTAACATTTTTCTTAATCTTTTTTGGTTCTAAAATTTTATCTACTTTCACTTCTCTTCTTAATCTATTTTTCCTTATATATTATTTTATCTTTCAAATTTCTTTTAGTGTAACTTTTATTTATCTTTGTATTTATTAATTTTCTCTAGAAATTATATTTTGAATATTGTTTTTATCTCTAAATTTGTTTCCACTCTAATTTTTCTTTTTTTTTTATAATTTTTTTTTCTTTAACATATCCTTTCCTCTCAATTTTTTATTTTTTTTCTCTAAATTTTTTCTGTATTTTAACTTTTATTTCATTATTTTTTGTTTCTAAATCTTTTTACTTTATCTCTCTAAAAATTATCTTCTAAATGTTTATTTACATCTCTCTAAACATGTATTTTCATGTATCTAGGATGACAAAAATTTATGCATAGTCGAACCCAAAAAATAAGAAATGCATATACCGATCCCGTCCCAATTCCATTTTTTAAATAATTAATATATATTTATTACACGTTTTTATACTTAAATTCTAAAAACAATTATAAAACCGATAATTCTCTCGAGAACATCTTTCGGACTGAAAAATGAGGTGGAGACAAGGACTACAAATTTTCACAAGCACAAAAATGAGGAGAGCATCCTCACTCACACGGTCATCTCTACACTACATAGAATTTTCTTTCTATAATATATATTTTCAATTTTCTAACTTTTTAAAAATAGAAAACTAAAAATGGTACCAAACATGTTTGGTTTTCTGTTTTTTAAAAACAAAAAATGGTTATCAAACTGGTTTTTGTGTTTTAAAAACATAAAACCAAAAACTAAAAATAAAAAAACAAAACGGTTATCAAACGAGCCCTTAATTTTCATCTCTGTGTGCAGGTTCTATATGGACAGGGTCGGATCCACGTGGGGACCGGGGGCACGTGGGATTTATATTAAAAATAATATAGTGTACTGGTATATTAAAGAAAGTATATGTGGCATCGTTGGTAACATCATCCCCTCGATTTAGTGCCCCTCGCCTCCCGCACCGTTAAATAACTTTGCTAAAACTTAAAATTTAAATCAAAAAATCAACTTTGATGTCGTTTTCAACAATTTTTCAAATGAAAATCTATGGAAAGGTAAAAATTACAACATTGTCTAAATCCTATCAAATTGATACATATTGCCGAGTTCTTTTTTTAGTACAAATATTGTGAAATTCAAGTTTAAAATTAATATTTTTCTGTTATATTTATATGCATTTGTATCCTTAACCTAAATTCTTGGATCCACTACTGTATATACCTCAATTATATTCGAATGGAAGCTTCACGCAATTGATGATTTTGTCATAGTTGTTTAATATTACTATGACTATTATTCTTATGATGACCACGAGCATAAGTAATACCCATGGTTTAGTACTAACAAAAATTCTCATCATCTTGACCTACGAGATAAACACAGTCTTAAAAAAGAAAGAAGGAATACTGAAAAAAAAAAAAAGAAAAAAAGAAAAACTATGCCGAGATTGGACGAATGAGAGGATGGGCCCACCGCATCTTCCCATCCAAAAAATAAAGAACACATAAAGCGAAGGAAAGGCTAAAAGACAAAACAAACCGACATATCGAGATTCCCTTATCCCACTCACCCGACTACTTTGTATTTTATTTATCCATGCAATTTTTTACCACTTGATCGAATATTACATTTTTATTCGCTTTTCATAAGTAAATTTAATTTAATTGGTCAAGATATTAATCTCTTGTTAAAAAAATCCAATTCTCACTCTATATAGAGATGGTAATTAAGTCTGTTTC